CAGGGGCGCCCCCATGGCCAGGGGCACCCCGATGACGAGGAGCACCTCCATGATGAGCACCCCGATGATGAGGAGCACCCCCATGGCGAGGGGCGCCCCCATGATGAGCACCCCGGTGACGAGGGGCCACCCAACCAGGGGCCACCCAACCAGGGGCACCCTGGCAACAAGGGGCCACCACCCAATGAGAGGGCGCCCAATGAGGGGCACCCCCATGACGAGGGGCACCCCCATGATGAGGAGCACCCCCATGGCGAGCACCCCGGCGAGGGGCCACCCAACGAGAGGCCACCCAATGAGCAGCCACCCAACCAGGGGCACCCTGGCAACAAGAGGCCGCCACCCAATGAGAGGCCGCCCAACAAGGGGCACCCCAATGATGAGGAGCACCCCGATGACGAGCACCCCGGCGAGGGGCCACCCAAGAAGGGACCACCCAACAAGAGGCCACCCAACCAGGGGCACCCTGGCAACAAGGGGCCACCACCCAATGAGAGGCCGCCCAATGAGGGGCACCCCGATGACGAGGAGCACCCCGATGGCGAGGAGCACCCCCATGACAAGGGGCACCCTGATGACAAGCACCCCGGCGAGGGGCCACCCAACGAGGGGCCACCCAAGGAGCAGCCACCCAGCCAGGGGCACTCTGGCAACAAGGGGCCACCACCCAAGAGGCCACCCAACGAGGGGCCACCCAACCAGGATCACCCTGGCAACAAGGGGCCACCACCCAATGAGAGGCCGCCCAACGAGGGGCCACCCAATGAGGGGCCACCCAACAAGAGGCCATGCAACAAGAGGCCACCCAACCAGGGGCACCCCAATGAAGACCACCCCAACGAGGGGCCACCCAACGAGGGGCCACCCAATGAGGGGCCACCCAAGAAGAGGCCACGCAACGAGGGGCCACCCAATGAAGAGCACCCCAATGACGAGAAGCACCCCAATGATGAGCACCCTGGCAAAGGGCCACCCAACAGGAGGCCACCCAACAAGAGGCCACCCAAGAAGAGGCCACCCAATGAGGGGCCACCCAACAAGGGACCACCCAACAAGAGGCCACCCAACAAGAGGCCACCCAA